CAGCATCTTCGGGAGATCTGGTGGGCATGAGCATCCTGTCTGTGTCAAAACCGCTCGGGAGCTCCATTCCTATGTCGCAGTAGTGTGCAGCAGCGGCCATTGCAACGTATTCGAGCCGTGCTAGCTGTCTCTCAGTCACTGAGGGGTCGGCTGTATCCAGTCTTTCCCTTCTTATGCTGGGATCATGAATAATGCTCGCAAAGCGGAAGGCAAGGACCTGTATTGGGTCCGTATGAACGCCTCCCAGACGCCCCTCATAGTCTCCTCCAGTGATGGACCATACTAGCCACGTGTGGTCCAGGATAGCGAGAATCGGAGCTGAAGTGGCGAGCTCCGAGCAACGTCCAGGGATAGCTGGTTCTACGGGAGCCGCGCCCATGGGGCTGTCCGCTCGCATGCCCGGGTGGCCTGGGCGGTGCCCCCTCCACGCGTGGTGTATGAGGAGCTCAAGGTTGCTGGTCTCACGCGATGTTCTCGGCGCTCCGCGGTTGGGAACCTCGCGCCACGGACCATCGATGCGCACAGGGTGCCGACGTAGGGCCCCCATGGTGCCCCCCCATGCCAGAGATCCTGGCGTCCGCAACGCGTGGGCCGCAGATGGGCCCGCCCGCCTCACGGCTGGCCGCCCAGACAGCATTCGCGTGCCCAATGGCGTCCAGCCACCGGGCGTGGAGGTCCGCAGCGCTTTGCCCTCTGCTCCTCAGCGTTTGGCCGGGGTCGTCAAGGTCTGAGGGGGTGGGCGGGTTCTCCTTTCGCAACTCGTCCTCCAAGGCAGGGTCTGGGGATGGGTAGGAGGGGGGGTCCGCGAGGACGGAACCCCCGTGAGCCGTGTGGCTAAGCACGAAGGGCGAGCCACTGCCCGACCACAGGAGAGGCCCCCGCTGTCTGTCCTGTGACGATTGGTCAGGTCCACGGCGGCATCCACCGAACGCGGCGTTAGGAACCTCGAGCCCAGGGGGCGGGTCGGGAGCGGAAAAGTCGGGAGAAGAGCTGGTGGGCGAGGGAGGAAAGGCACGGGGAGATCCAGCCGCCGAGATCGGAGACCTTGCCCGATCGATCCGATCAACATGAGGAGCGGCCCCGACCGCAGGATCGGGAGCAACCCTGGGGGTGCGGGGCGAACGAGGAGGCACGTCGGGCCTTCCCTCCGCCGATCCCGGAGGGGGAAAGATGCGATCGATCATCCCTGTGGAGGAAGGCGTCTCCCTGCGATCGCTGGAGTCAAGGGCCCCCGACTCTCGCCCCACTCCCCCTGGTGGAAGGCCGGGCCCGTTGCCTGCTCCAGGGAGGCGACGGAAGGTCGCACTGTCAGTGTGTATACTGCCGACGCTCTCCCGTCCCGCCTGTGGGGGCTGGGTCACAGGTCGTGTCCTCCGTCTGCCAGCGGTCCCTGGGCCGAACGCCGCGCGCCTCCCTCTGCATGCCGTCGTCCGATCCAGGGTAGCGACGGAAGGTCGCGCATTCTGTGTGTCTCGCGGGGGAAAGAGCCTCGCCCCCTCCACCAGCGTCGTGCCTAGCGCTCTCAACTCCAGTGGGTCGACTGAAGGCAGCAGCGTTAGGGTGCACACAGCTACCGCACCCACGCCCAATCCCCGCAGGGGTAGGGTCTATAGCCCTTACCCCCACATCCGACTGACCCCTGGGTCGAACGCCTTGGGCCTCATCCAGCCTCCCGCCATCCGATCCAGGGTGGCGACGGAAGGTCGCACGATCTGCGTGTATCTCAGGGATGCCAGCATCACCCCCTTCCCCAGCATTACGCATGCCGCTCTCGGGTCCATGGGGGCGGTCGAACGCTGCATCGGCGTCGGGATGCGCTTCGCAAGTAGAAGGCCTGGCTCCACCGCCTAGCTCAACAGCGAGACGGCCTCACTCGGCGCGGGCGCGCCCAGGGGGGGGGGTCGGCGGTGGGTTGGCGCGAGCCTCCGTGAAGCGGGCCAGGGCTGCGGGCAGGGACCCGCCCATTCCTGTTGCCTGTGCCCTCGTGAGCGCCCCCCGAGGGCATCAATTCCCTGGGCTCCCCGCCCGAGTCGCCCTGGCCCATGGGGCGACCGCCGAGGACGTTCCTCTGCGCCTCGTCAGTTGGCCTAAGCGGGACTGGATCCGTGAGGGGGTTTGCTTGTGCAGAGGCGAGGCCCTCTCCCCCCGTAGCCCTGGCGTCGCCTAGGGCCGATCCACTCTGTCCAACAGCGCCTGTAGAGAAACAAATTGGGCGCCCCGCAGCGGGCATGGGAGCGGTAGGGGTGGGAGAGGCGGTCGGGTTAGACAGGAGGGCTTCGCGCCCACGGTCATCGCGTCCAGGGGGGCGACGGAAGGTCGCAGCGTCGGAGTGAATTCTGCCAACGCTCTCACGACCACTCCCCATGGGGGTTAGCTCCCTGGTGCATTCTTCCCATTCACACTGTTCCCTGGGCTGAACATCGCGGGCGCTCCTCTGCCCGTCGCAGCCCGTTCCAGGGTAGCGACGGAAGGTCGCAAGATCTGCGTGAATTGTGGGGATGGACGCGTTACCCCCTCCTCCAATGCTGCGCCTGCCGCTCTCAGGTCCCTGAGGGTGGCCTTGTGCGGCATCAGCGTCGATGTGCGCGCCATAACCTGAGGGCCCGTCTTCTATGCTCAAGCTGCGGAGAGCAGCTTCGCTCGGTGCAGCCGCATCCAGAGAGGGGGGCGCGGCGGAGTGAGGGCAAAAGCCTATCGGATGCGCGACGGGGCCAGGGCGTCGCGACTGCCCATCTCCCCCCACTTCGCCTTCGTGGGCGCCTGCTGGGGGTGTCGGGTCCATGCTCTCCCCATCCCCGTCGCCGAGGTCCCTGCGTCGGGAGCCGAGGGCACCTCTCTGCTCGTCGCCGAACCGTCTGAGAGGAACAGAATCCGCGGGGGGATAAACTGTTTCAGGAGTGGGGCCGTTGGCCCCCGTAAACCTCGCATCGCCATGGGCGGTCCCGTTATGCCCAGCGCTGCCTGGAGAAAAGGAAATTGGGCGCCCAGCAGTGGGCATAGGGAGAGTGGGGGTAAGAGAAGGGTAGCTGGGCGGGAGGGCCTCATGCCTGCCATTATTAAGTCCAGGGTGGCGACGGAAGGTCGCGATGTCAGTTTGAAACAGAGGGCTGAACGTATCAACCCCGTCTACCAATGCGCGTCCGCCGATCTCGACTCCAGGGTAGCGACGGAAGGTCGCAACTTCGGTGTGCATCACAGGGTTGAAGGAATCAACCCCTCCTTCCGATTGGTTGGGGGCCATCGGTCCTCGTGTACCCGAAGCATCGGCTGAAACGCTCCCATTCCAGGGAGCAGGGGGCGACCGTTGTCCCGGAGGGATGGTGTCCTGAGATCCAGGGCGAGTATGTCCTGAGTATTCAGTCCACAGGTCCCGAGGCCGACGTCAGGTGATGCGGCCCCCGCCCCCACAGGGATGACAGGATTATCGTCGATCGATCGCTCGGTCATCCATGGGGCGGCGGCCCTGATCCGATCTGACCCGAGGGCCGCTGAGCCCGTCTGCGCGGCGGCAAGGCAGCAGCAATGGCTGGCGCGCCCAGGGGCCGGCGGGGGTCCAGGGCCGCAGGCCCCCGACGCTGCGTCTGGGCGCCCCCTTTGAGCGGCGGGAGACTGCCCCGGAGAGGGCAGGCCCACCAGACGGCTTGAACCAGAGGCTACGGACCCTGGTGGGGTTACGCGACGCGCTTAGAATTGACCACGCGCTGCTGTTCCAAGCCTTCCCCCAAACTGAAAGGCGGCCTGGATGTCCGAGCCGGATGAGCCTTGAGAAACCAGCGGCGAGCCTGGGGGAGAAGTGAAAAGGAGAAGGCCGTTTCAGAAGGCTCCCCAGACCTTCTGAACAGTTCTCTGCCTTCCCGAAGCACACAAACCTGCTCAAAGGCGCGAGGGCTTCTGAGAAGTCCTGCCGTCTTCTGAAAGGGCCTTCTCGTTCTCACTTCCCCCCTCGCTCACTCGCCGCCGAAGAAAGTCTGGCAGAGGGGAGACGGGGGCAAACTCGCCCCAAAATCGGCCCCCGGACCCCCCCAAGGGTCGACATCGACAAGACTTCCGAGCCGCACTCGGCCGAGGCGACGAGGAAGCCCCTTCGCCCTCCTTTCTGCGGGCCAGAGCCACTGCTGGGCCACCTCAGCCCCCAACCGGCTCAAACCTTCGACCTTCGATTTGGAGATTCGAACGCTCCAGATGTGTGCGAGAAACACAGGCGCGATGCCCAACAGCGTGTTGCGGCCCAAAGCAACAGCGGCCGCTGTTGGGCAGGCGTGGGTCTGTCTCGAATGGCCAACGCCCGCGGCGACGCCGACAGCTCGATCATACCGATGAGAACAGTCGGGTGGATGGCACTAGGGGTGACATGAGCGGGGGTCGAAGACAAGGGCCCAAAGGGCTCTTTCGGATCGGCACTGGACCCCCCTCCCTGGCGCGCGGAGCGCGCAAGAGTCAGCGCCGGAGACGCTGCCAGGGGGCCCCAGCGCCGACCCGAGGAAGCTGCGCGGAGCTCCGAGCTTTGTATGTCTATGCCACTGCTCGTTCCCCGAATCATACCGCCCGCCCGAAACGAGTCCCCGATCCTTTCGCCCATCGCTCGGACGCCCGTTCCCCGTGCACTTTTCCAGCCTCGTGCGTAGATTTTGGGAAGATCGGGGTGACCAACAAAAATGCCCATACCGCTGCTCTCCGGACCTCTGCTGGGGTGCGCTCTGACGAGAATTCGGAGGCGAATCCAGCGGCGGCGACGAGGACCTCCCAGAGGGCCGAAACAGGAGAAGGCGGGCGAAAGGTAATTAGCAGCAGGGGTACTTTCGTATTCCTCCTCCGACAGATGGTCCTCGCCGAGAAAAAAAAACGCCCGCGTCCGAGCGATGCCGAGTCCCCGCCCCGACCACAGCCCCCGCCCCCGGCGGGGCGGCCCCGCGCGGCGCACGGCCATCCGCGCCTGTGCGCCGCGCCGCGCGCGGCGCACGGCTGCCCACCGCGCGCTCGCCGAGGGGCGGTCGCGGCCCTCAGCCCGCGCCAGCGGCACCTGGCGCCGCGGTGCTCTGGAGTCCCCAGACGAACAAAACCCCGGGCGGTCCCTGGCCGGTTCGGGTCAGAGATCCCCGACCGGATCGGGTCGGGTCGGGTGATCCCTGGTCGGTCGGGTCATTGATTCCCCTTAGGTGTTGGACAGATTTGGGCGTTTCCCCCTCCCTGTTCGGCTTCCCGACGCCTCAAGACGGCCCTGGAGCATCGGCCTGGCTCCATCCCCCCTTTAAAGCGAGGCCAGGACGAGGACAAATCCGGGCGAGGACATATCAATAATCTCTTGCACCTGGCGGCTCTGGGGGATGCATCGGGCGCCGCGGCCTTCCTGGAGCGTTCCAGAAGGCTCTCAGAGCGTTCTGAAACGCGCTGGAACGCATTCCTCCTCGTCCTGGCCCCGTCTGACTCTGCATCTCTCCCTCCCCCCCTCGAAAAACGCAGAACGCACCAACCTTCGAGAAATAATTAGCCTGGCGAAGGACCCAACCGTATGCAGTTGTGAATACCGCGAATGTGGATCTCATCTTCGCTCGCGCTCCCTATGGGGCCACGAACCGTGCGAGGGGGCATGCCGACATGCGTGGCGGGGTCTTTAATACGAACAAAGACGATCGCTCTGAGTGCGCGAGACTGAGACCGGGTGAGCCTGAGCGCGAGTAAGTCTGATTGTGAATGTGTTTGCGTGCGAATCTGTCTACGTGCGTCGATGTCGACGCCCATGTCGGCACGCCCCCCGCGAGGATCGCGCCCGCTTCCTTCCCTTTCTTTTTCTACCTCTTTGCCCGTGCGCGCCGATGTCCACGGCTGCGGGCGCGGCGCCGCGCTGAGTCCCCGCGACGCGCGCTGGTCGCCCCGAAGGGGTCCCGGCGACGCGCGCGGGTCGTCCGCTGCGCGGAGCAGAGAGAGTGCTAGCTGGCTGGGTGATAGCGGGCAAGACTGTGGCCGCTGGGCAGAGCGACGACGGGGGCGAGCGAGGCCCTGGGCAGAGCGCGGCGCGGAATTCCCGCGACGCGCGCTGGTCGCCCCGAGAGGGTCCCAGCGACGCGCGCGGATCGCCCGCTGCGCGAGGCCAAACAGTCAGACCGTCGGGAGACGGCGAGTCTCGGGCGGGCCGCTCCTCAGGTCAAGCCTCGCGGATAAACTCGGTGAAGCCCATCTCCCTGGCGAGGGCCGTCGCCTCCCTTTTGCACCGCTTCGTGCGCGCCGCAAACTGCTCCAGCTGCTTCCGCAAGCCCTCCGGCGGCCCTGCCAGGAAAAACTCGATGCGCGGCGCCCGCATGAGCAGGAAGTCCTTGTGGCGCGTGGCGCGCGAGAGCAGGACGTAGAGCTCCAGCCACCAGTCGTCGTCCTCCTTCTTGCCGTTCCCCACCTCGTGGCGGCCGCAGTCCAGGATCACGCCGCGATGGGAAAGTCCCAAATGGGGTGTGCCAAAATGGGGTGTGCCATCACGCCAGGGGTGTGCCAAAATGGGGCGGCGGCGCCATGCGAGTTCCGCCACTGGGACCTTAGGCGGAACTCCCTATGGGGCCACAAAACGTGTGAGGGGTGTGCCAAAATGGGGCGGCGGCGCCATGCGAGTTCCGCCACTGGGACCTTAGGTGGAGCTCCTTATGGGGCCACGAAACGTGTGAGGGGTGTGCCAAAATGGGGCGGCGGCGCCATGCGAGTTCCGCCACTGGGACCTGAGGTGGAGCTCCCTATGGGGCCACGAAACGTGTGAGGGGTGTGCCAAAATGGGGCGGCGGCGCCATGCGAGTTCCGCCACCGGGACCTGGGGTGGAACTCCCTATGGGGCCACGAAGCTTGTGAGGGGTGTGCCAAAATGGGGCGGCGGCGCCATGCGAGTTCTGCCACTGGGACCTTAGGTGGAGCTCCCTATGGGGCCACGAAACGTGTGAGGGGTGTGCTGAAACAGAAACATGCGGAGAGCAAAAGCCAGGATGGGGGAGGAGGGAGGAGGGGGCAGAGGAGGAGAGGAGAGGAGGACGCGGGGCACCGTCTCTTCAAAACGAGGACCCAACACCACAGGATGGTTGGGAAAAAACGGCGTAAACATAAACTGTCGCCTGTCCGCGCGGATTTCTTGGATCTGCGCTGGAACCTCCTCCCTGGCGCGCGGAGCGCGCCAGGGGCGGCGCCGAGACGCCGCAATGTGGGCCCAGAGCGGATCCAAGAACTCCGCGCGGAGCGCCGGAAGTTTATGTTTCTGTCTGTTTCTTCTTCGAACAAAAGGGGTTATGGGGGAGGGGGGAAGGCCTCTTGGAAGGAGGCTGCGACTTAGAAAGCGCCGGCCTCACATCTGCAGATCAGGCCCGCGCCTGCCAAGAAGCAGGCATGTTTCTGAGAAGCCTCCCTCCCTCCCCCTACCCCCTACCCCCCTTCTGCGCGGGTCCGCCCCTCCTCCCCCTGCTTCTGGCCCTCTCCCTCCCTCCTGGTCTCCGCTCCCTCCCTGCTCATCCTTCCTCCTCCGCTCCCTCCTGGTCTCCTTCCTCCTCCGCTCCCTCCGCTCCCTCCTGGTTTCCGCTCCCTCCTGGTCTCCGCCCCCTCCCTCCCTCCCTGCGCATCCTTCCTCCTCCGTTCCTGCCTCCTCTCCTCGGCGGCGCGCGCCAGGGGGGAAAGGAGGCGAAGGCCTTCCGAGAAGGCGGCGGGACTTCTCAGAAACCCCCATGCCTTCCTGGAACTTGCCGTCGCTCGGACGTCCATTTCCCGTTTTTCGGTTCCGTGCGTGTTTTTTTTGCTCGATGGTCCAGGATGGTCATCAAGGGTCTTCGCTGAAAAAAGTACACACGTCCGAACGATGCCATGGGAAATGGTTTGTCTTCGGGGAAGGCCGGGGGGCTTCCGAACCTCCTGAGACGGCCTTCTCCTGCTCACTTCCTCCCCTCGCTCGCCGCCGACCTCCGCTCTGCCCTCCCTCCCGCCTCCTCCCGGGCCGCCCCAGCTGCCGTCCTGAGGGCGGATCAGCTCCAGGGGGGGGAACGTCGAGCTGGAATCGGCGACACACTGCCGATAGATCGGCGCTGGGCCTCCGATGGCGAGTTCGCACGCTCCTGGGTGAAGAGGGCTGCCAGGCCCCCATCGGCGACCAGTGGGCCATTGGGGGTCGACGAGTTCCCCTGGCTGGCCATCGCTCGGACGTCCATTCCCTGTGCTTTTTTCGGTTTCGTGCGTGGCTTCTTCGCCAAATGATGCAGGGTGCTCCTCGATGGTCCTCGCCGAGAAAAAATGCACACGTCCGAACGATGCTAGGCTGGCCTCTTGGCCTACGTGCTCCCCGCAATGGTTTCTGGAGATAACTCTCCGACTGCCGTGCGCGGGGCAATCCAAAACCATGGGCACCTCTCCGCGGGGCGCGGCTTCTGCAACGCGTCCCGAGGCAAGAGAACCTCCAGACACCGACGGAGAGCACTCGACTGGCCATCGCTCGGACGTCCATTCCCCGTGTTTTTTTTCGGTTTCGTGCGTGGTTCCTTCGCCGAATGATCAAGGATGCTCCTCGATGCTCCTCGCCGAAGGGAAAATGCACACGTCCGAGCGATGCCAAGTCGAAACAAGACCCCGACCTACATTCAAGGAACATCCCAAATGCCAAAGCCCTTCCCGAGCCCAGACATGGTACTCCTTTCCGCGTGCTGACCGCAGCGCTGACCGTGACGTGGCCCTGGAACGTTCCGGACTCGTCCAAAAAGGGAGGGAAGGGAACGAAGACCATGACCAAGACAGAACGCGGAAACGTCGGTGGGGATCTCAGCCATCGACAGTCTTCAGATCGTGGATCGTCCTCATGAATCGGCAACGGCCGGCATGAACCACGACCAAGATCGGCGTCGACCAAATCCAGCGACATCTTGGTCATGGTCGGTATTCTTCCTACCTCGACCGACGCCTTGATCCTCGCTCCTCGCTCCTCGCTCAGGCTCGGGCTCGGGCTTCCTTCTTTCGAGGACGCACTGACCCAAGTCAATGCAAATCGGGGCTAGTCAGGCTGTGCAGGACCCTTCAAGATTGCGGGCCGGCTAAATATACCCCACCCCCACTGGGGCCACAGAGGCTGAAAATGCCTGGGTTCTTGCTTCGAAGGCCGAAGCTGACATCACCTCTGGGCGCCCCAACGGGCCCCTTGAAGGAGCCCTGGGAAAGGCTCGACGACGTCCTGCGCCCTCCTTCCGGCCTCCTCTGCCCTCCCTCAACCTTCCTCCCTCGCTTGCCCTTCCATGCAACTCGTTGGGGTCTGCGGGCCCGCCCGGAATGGCGACCCGAAAATGCCGGCCAGCGCGATATAGTTTTTGTGGCGCCGCGGGAGTGGGGGAGCTGGGTATGATTATGCCACGAGAAAGGCCTGATTCGATACCCCGCACACGAATCTAGCCCTCCCGCGGAAGGATAATTTCGACGGCGGCGCGGACGCTGGAGGACCGGCGTTGACTGCTCCGCCTGGAGCGCCCAGGTACGCCGAAATGGTCAAGAAAGACTGGGAAGAATGCAATCTTTGTCCTCGCGTTACGCGATGCACTTTGTCATGCGACGCGCGGGGGCAAATACATGCATTTCGTTTGCAAATAAATTCAACCTTCGGATTTTCACATTGCCGCCCGATGTCTTAGGGGATCCGCACATGCGTTAGGGAACCTGGCTCGAGCGCGCCCCAATCCCCCTACCGTCCGTACGGGCACATTCGTTTTCCGCAGTTGCAAATCAACAGGAGGTCGAGGCAGCTTCGAGCAAGGCAAGAAGAGGAGAGAAAGACGAATGGAGGAGGAGAAAGGAAGGGGGTTCACGGGGGTAGCAACAAGGATGAGAAGGACGCAGACGTTGAGAAATGAGCGGTGGACACAAGGGAGGACGGCGGTGGGAAGGAGGGGCAGGAGGAGGATACAAGTGTTTGGCCGAACGCTTGGCCCACGCACCCGGCCTATCACTGGATTGGGCGCCCCGCCCAATCGTGAAGTTTGTCCAGCTTCCCCGAGACAGACTATCAAGACTTCGGGCTTCGGCCGCAGC